ATGGTTGTTCTTTGAGCCACCGGGAATCCTCACAAGTTCAATATTCTATGACTTGCTTTGTATCGGTAATCAATGCCTCCTTCGACTCTAAATTTTCTTGTTTCCCTGACAACATCTATAGCACTAACCTCATCTTCTACTCCTACATAAACTAAGTCTAAGCTGAGAATGCTTTTATAAGAAAGTTGGAGAAGGCCAATAATTTTATAGTACGTATATCCTAAATTAAATTAATATCGAACAAGGTTCACTTAACTACTTTGATACATTCTCTACAAGTGAAATGTACCGACATCATAAGCAGCAGACACATCTGCAGTTAAAGAACATAATAACTATGTAATAATTAAAAGCATAACAGAATCGATGTCCTAAAGCAGTTTTAATACTAGTAGCATGGAAATTACGAACCAAGCTTTGCCTCGAAATATACTTTATGAAAGGTCTGATTTTGGTGCAAATTTTGCTCAATCAATTACAAGTATTTTAGAATGTAAGTGTATTATCTAAACAAGCCTTGTAATGATAACTGGTATCGTTTATGGTTCCATTCTCTCTAAAAAGAGTTAAGAGTATAATTAAAAGTTAAAACTTACAAGTTTGGATATTTATGTTACGATAGGTACCTAAATATCTAATTGTAAATAAAATAAGTTATGATAAGGCGATGTAGCTTTTTATCAATAATAAAATAAAGTCGAAATAATAAGATATAAAATGTGATGGCGCCTATAAGATTCCGTATGATATAAAATATTGAACTTAATTACCATACTTTACATAAATAATAATAATTTTAGTGTTAAACAATAAAGTACCCAAAACAAGACTTAAAAAGAAAAGTATCTGAAATAAAAAGAAATATAACTGAAATTAAACTTTAATATTTGAAATAAAAAGAAATTTAACTGAAAGAGTATTTGAAATAAAGAGAAAACACTCGAAATAATGAAATATAGTATCTTACTCCAGGCTTTGGGGAAGATACAGGAATCTTTTCCCGGGTACAAAAGGTTGGACATCAGCATACTCCATGACGTCAATGGCACCGGTTTTCAATCTCTGCTAAAGGACTGCTGTTCGCGAGTCAATTCTTCGATACTTCCTGGAACAAGGTCGCTGGCTTCCATCTGGTTTATGTTGAATGTTGCCGATCTCGTTGGCTGCCTCAATTTCCTTGAAAGCATGTGCATGTTTAATCTACCTCTTCAGTTTCACGTGCCAAGACTCCAGTTGGTTGGTGGTACGGGGGTCCATCTGTATTGTAATGGTTCCACATGGTCGCTCTCAGTCCCCTGGTTGACTACGTAGTCAGTGAAAGACCCTGTGTTGTTTAGTATGTCAGCATGCTCCAAGTCGTCTAGTGCGTTGAACAAAGCAGATCCTCTACCTATTGCTGTTGGATCAGGGGGCTGAATGACTTGACGGATCAACCTCCGAATATCTTCGTTCTCTCTGTAGGCTGTCGGGAGTCCGGTATTCTGTTGTAGACATCGGGAGGTTGCATTCATCTATGACCACCTCCAGTAGTTTTATAATAGGATGTAGGTCCTATTACCGTAGATCTTGTCAGCAGCAGTAAGGTCTGTCATGTTCCGGGAAGTGGTAAAGGCAAGGATTCGGGCATCACGGATTGGACAAGTTTATCGTCCATCAAGGTTGATGTCAGTAGTAGTCTTGTCTGACTCTGTAGGGTGCTGATCTTACAGTGTTGAATGTAGGATTCTACTCGACAACGGACCTTGTCTCGTCATTCCAGTCATCATCCCGCAGCTTGGTTACCTCCTCGTGGAAAATTGACGGTATCGATCTGACCTCTCCATGGCAAATATGCTGACATGGTTGGCAGGGTAGTGGAGATGACGTTCAAATCCGACGAGTGTCTTGTTTCAGGTGTTCACTGTTGCATGGTAGGCAGAGACGGTCCAAGTCCAGTAACTTCCGAAATTATAGAATTAATATCTTGTTAGATGTTCGTGAAAATATATTTCCAAAATAAACGGATAAATAGCTCCCCCTATAACTATTCCTTTGGAAAAAAACATTTTAAGAAAATCAATTTGTAACACATCAGTGGTTATAAGTAAACTGTATATTATATTACATATCTTATAATCATATACACATTTTCAATAATATTTGTTCTTACCACCCAGACTGTTTTAAACAAACTTAAGTTTAATCTCAGCGTTAGCCATGATCAAGAAGAAAAATTATGGGTAAAGTGCACTCGGTAAAGACAGAAATATCTGAATTATGAATGGTGTGACATAACGCTGTTTTATAACACCTAACATGTACATGGATACTCACCTCATTTAGCTGCCACACCCCTCTTCCTATTGATGATGAACACTCATCGCAGCAACAAAAAAACAATAACACCTGCTACTCCACTGAAAGGTCTTTCAAAGATTGAATGATGAGCTTGCAGTTTATAAAAACAAATGCCATTATTTATTTAGAAAATATCACATTTCTGGAAATTGGTATCAAATCTGATACATTTTGATAAATCATCCAAGCTATTTATATAATGTAATTAATTCAATATTTTAACACTAATTCATCAGTGAAAATTGTTAAATCATTTAAGTTTTATTTGAATTTTAATACCTTTGGACCAAAGAGCCCATCAATACATATATACATAAACAATACAATGTATATGTGACATCACAAAATATTACATTCAAAATAGAATAGATATTGATACATTCAATAGAAATAGGTTTCTTCGTACTAAATAATGTTACGGAGAATAGACTTAATTCAAATTGTTTAAACATATCCTTAAACATTTAAAAAGAAGTATCTTGAACATAAAAAAGTAAAAGTAAAACCAGCCAACAGGTGAAGGTTTACAGGCAGGTTTACTTGTTGGAACTGATACTACTTTAAGGGAAAAGACTACAATCATTATATAAACAAACTATAGAGAGGATTAAAAATGTCGGCAAGTAGAGATACAAAAATATCCATATGGAACATCTGTTTTCATATGTTTGGAGCACTTCTTTCCTCCAACTCCTTCATTGTATACTTTCATATAAATACGCGTTGGTGTATAAACGTATTTATCCTTAAGTTTACAATGTCAGTATACTGAAAACAGATGTGCCATATTTACAAAAGGCAATAATAAAGCATCATTCTATGAAAATCGATTCGGCGACACTTTGCTTGAACCTAGACATCGATGTGACAGTGACCGTTGATCCACTTGCTATCTTGTTCCATCTGTTGCTTGGAAATGTTAGGTTTGTAACTTTTTCTTAAGAAATATTAACTTAAAAAAGAAGTGATTTAATCGAGGAATTGTGGTTGTGATATTAGAACATATATTCCACTTTCTTTTAATAGAAATTGATAACACGTGGTATTCCCCTCTAAACCAGAAATTTGATTTATCGATCAAAATCAACGCTGAAGATTTATTTTGTGTGTCTGTGAATTGTCCCTTTATAAATTTGTACAATCGCTTTCCGAAATCTTAGCAAAGACTTTACAGCATCAGTTTGACATAATTTTCTATATCTGCGATGCATGTTTGTATGTTACATAACTAGTTTATAACTAGAAGTTATCACTGATTCAACTGGGATATTACATGTGTCATGAACAATACTGCAACCACAGGTTGAATGCGATTATGAAACATCAAAGGTTTTGTATATGTCATTATGTACTTACGCAATGAATGAAAACATCACTGGAAGAAGTCTTAGAAATCTTGTTGAATGAACAAATGGATGTAGATAAACACGATGTATCTCTCCTCCTAACTGTTAAAAATAAAACATTACTATCCTAAACATAGTAGCAATGTGATTTAGATCTTCAAATTAATTTGTAATAATTAAGGATTGCTTATAATTGTTATTATGTTTGTTTTCTGTAACTACATCGGACAAACATACCAATTATGATAACAAAAACATCATCAAGTAACACAAATTGTATACATTGTTTCGTCACAAACCAGATTTATATAAAATTTAGGGGTGTAAGAAATTATCATTTACGACCGGCAGTAGTGACAACATCGTGTACTCTTGCTCAATCACAATGTGTTAATATTGATAAATACACATAGTGTGATTGGTAAGCTTCATCCAGCCAATTGTTAGTCTAAATAGTTTTAGCAGTAACATAAAAGTCAGTTTCATGTTTGAAAATTTGTCCATTTTGTTATATGTATTTCGTTTGCTAACCAGGAGTGGTAATGTATCATTGTTCTGTAGTGGTTATCCATGTTTCATGACAACGTCCATTCTCATAAAAAAAAATGAGATGTATTTTCATGGTGCTCTGTTTTCTTTATTTTATAAAAATTACTCTTTCCTGGATATTTGATATCGCGGATAAAAAATTCAACAAATGCACTTTTACTTAATATAACATTCCATAGAATATGAATTCGAAGATTAATAGTTCTTAGGAAATGAAAGAAAATAAATCCCCCGCGAAAATTAAATATTCTTCAGCACGGTTATTCATTGTGTTGAATTGCTTCGATAACTAAAATCTAGTATGTTTCTGTATCTTGGAAAGTTACTATATCAACTACATGTCAACCGCAGGAGTGACCAGGATGGACAGTGATCATTGCAAGCTTTCAGTAAGCTCAGCAAGAAAGTCATGCGTAATAGCTTAAATACATCCTCTACATGTGGATAGTTTTGTATTTGAGAACGACTTTGTTTAAATTATCAAAAGTTATAACAATTTGTGTTAATTAGGTACTTCCTTCAGACATAAACCCAACATTCTTGCTGTAGAAATAAACCTTAGTGTTAAAGGCAATCCTATGTGGTTTCGTAAACAACTCCATAAATTTTCCACGTAAAAGACGGTACCAGACCTCGGACGCCAATGCAAAAGAAGAGTGCACTATCAGTGCGCCTGCGCACCATCAAAAGTTTGGATTTTGCACTCATCTAGATAGACCAGAAACTGGCATGAAAATGTACGTTTTTATTTGAACACGGCGATTTTTATCAGTTTGAAATTCGGAGAGGTATGCTACTGTTGTACAGGTCAATATTTGTTTTCAGCGGAGGATATCCTAGAAATTTGTATAGATCGTTACATCCCGGATTCATCACATTCAGAAATGTTTCATTTACCCTCTTTCTCCAAGCTAAAGCGATTCGTAAGGATGTTCCCCTGGTTTCAGAATTGAGGATATTCTTCGTTGTCATCCCAGTCATATTTTTCAATCGGTTCTGTTCCTTTTCGTCAAAATTATATCCTGCAAAATCAAACATCATTTGAACTGTTTTTGCTGGGTTTGTCACAAGATCTTCATAAAAAACAGTCAATAATCTTCCCGGATGTGTTGTCCGCATCATGTATGATTCAAGGTAGTCTTCCTTCATTTTATTACATAAAGAAATTGATCCACCAGGTGCAGGTGTCCATTTAAGAGCATGTCTTGAAGCCATGATAGCCCTCGGATCTCTTACAAGGTGAATTATTTTCAGATTCGGTACCGAATTTAACAGTTGTGCTGCCAAACTGACACTGACACGAGGTACTTTGCTGACTCGTGCTGTTGCGTTAGCACAACGGCTTATAACTTTTTCTATGCAGCCTTCCACCTTACCGTGACATTCAGGAAAATAGTTTGCCCATGTCGGATTTTGTATACTGTCTCTAAATCCCCTCCCCTTTAATAGCTGCCACATCTGTAGAGATTTCAGCAAATGATTACTATCACATTTATACAATCCTCGTAAGATGTCCATGACGAAGGAATCCGTTCTGGTACTCATACTGCGAAGAAATGAAGCGATATGTACAATTAAAAATATATGTAAAATATTCATCTCCACATCAGTAACATTTTTTGGGGAACTTTGAAACCAATAGATACAAAATTCACGAGCATGAATGAAACGGTAGTTTTTGTAATACGTGCTTTGACGATCTCACTTGTTAACATATCTAACAATATGAGTAAATTGTTATATTGCATTATCATGTTGCCACAAAAAAAAAAAAAAAAAAAAAAAACAGGGGAAAAGGCAATAATGAAAATATGTTACATAAAGTATGAGTCATGATTACGTTTTTAACATTGAGAAAACATTAAAAAATCATCAAGGTTGCGTTAAGGAATCAAATGGTAGTTTTAGGGCCGCAATAGAGTGGCGTGTTGTATATCTGAATCACTGAATCAGATTTGGTCAATTTTTATTTTCCTCTTTGGCCTAATAGGTTTCAAAATCTATGTCAAAAATAACGCTGACGAGTCACAGAAGAATGAAACAGCTCAATTGAAATTTGACTCTACTTAATGTTATTTGTATTCACTTTCATACCTTAAATACAAGCTAAGGCGAGAAATTAATGAATACGGATGATAATGAAATAAAATTTGTGTTACCTTATTCATATACAGTTTATATATATGAAGTTGCTTAAAATATATTTTGTATCCAATAACATTTGTATAATAAAAACAAAACAAACAAACCGTGAAAAATGCAAAAAAAAAAAGTTCAAACTTGTCTGATACAAGACAGTAAACCCACCTTCATTTCCGATAAGCATACAATATATAGGCTTAAATTGGGCATTCTTATGGGCATATAACAGTGTCAGTGTTAAAGTGTATACAATATTCAATGTTGACATCGATTTCCTCCATTATCTAAACTGAGTGTAGTCGCTTTAGATTTTCGATGTTCCAACATTAAAAGCTTGTGTGACCTCCACGTGCAAGCAACACAGGCCACAGCTGATACATTAATTTGTAATAGAAATCAAATTTAATTTTTCGTAATTCTACAGAATTCACTTTTCTCTGACTTAAAGATATTGATTTCAAGTACAATATGGATTTATCTTGCTAGATTGTCATTTAGACCACAAAAGCAGGTCCGGCTGAGTGATGTTCAAGCTGTCTAGTTTTTATTTACACAATAATCTATAAAATATTCATGTTTCCTGTTTTATCATCTCAGTTGTTAAAACGAAATATTACCAACTTTCCAGAAATAAAACATTTTGCAGATCTGTAGCTTTTGTTTCTTTGTATTTTAATTAACAATAAAATATCGAACCTTGTCACACTTCTTGCAGTGTTTCTTTCTTGTTTGGTGCCGTATTCTACCAAACAATACAGCCAACCTAACGATAATTAACCTGGGGTACCCTGTACTGGAACTTTGCTTTGCCATTTTAAGAAGAGTATGCAAGTATATTACTGGTAAATCATACGGTTTGCTCGAACGGTATTTAGATACGATGTCTATGGCACTTCGCTCTCACCGACCAGTACAATGGCCCCTTTTGACTGAGTGGCACAAACAAACAAGACTACAATGGGCACAAGATCAAAGCACATGGAGTATTTGATCTTGGTGAAGAATCCATTGGTCTGATGTAAGCCACTTTTTACTTAGTACAGCACACGACATGATCCGTGTTTGGTGACCAAGAAATACGGAAAACCATTAGAATCAAATTCTGGGCACAAATGCATTAGATGGTGCCCATGGTACTCTTTATAGAGTTATATTTATTATTACCATTGCTTGTTTGTTTGTTTGTTTGGTTTTTGTCCCTTGATGTAATTTTATACCTACAGTGATCTGATTTTTCGAGAACGTTTTGTTGCTCCATATTTCGATGCTCATCCATTGGCAGATCAACCTATCCTCATAGCAAACCACACAGAGGCTGCCTACTGTACAGAAAAATCATAAAGAGACTCCCGTGGCCGGCAGTGTCACCAAACATGAACTCAAAAAGTAAGGCACGGAATCCAAAATGCGAAACAAATTAATGAATAATTACAGGCTGCATTGAGTGGCAAAGGTTTCCTCAGAAGAAGCTTCGGCGTCTAGTATGATACAACAGGCAGAAGATTGGTATCTCAGGTGTGGTGGCTATACCCGACATTGACATTCATACCCAATAGAGGCAGACATAGCATGTTCTGGTGATTTGATGAAGTATTGGTAGATGAGCGACAATTAAAATCAAACGTTTTACTAGACTTTGAGAACGCCTTTTGGAAATGATACAATTCCAGTTCTGGTTCTGTAAATTCCTTTACACTATCGAATGTGTATAATTGTGTTAGATGCATGAACGATCCTGTATATCCGGTTGAATTATCATTGAATATATTTTCTGATATACAGTACAAGCTTTTTACTTTACACACGGCGTTTTTATAAGTGAAATAGTTCCTGTTAAAATGAAAATCTTGTTATATATTATATCTAAAAAAACATATAACTTATTAGTAATTTATATCTAAAAATATATAACTAATTAGTAATTTATATCTAAAAATATATAACTAATTAGTAATTTATATCTAAAAATATATAACTAATTAGTATTTCATATGGAAATGACAACCTGTCATTTATTCTTGGTTAGAGAAACAATCTACAGGTCTGATCACCAAAGCATCAATTATCGACACACTTTGCATTCCTACATGGTGTTCTGATTCAGGACAAAAACCCTCGTACGAAGATGCAGGTTGATGAAAATTATGGCGAAGTTTTACCATAGTCATAGTGATCTTATTGAGAAAGATTTTATTTTTGTGCGATATGAAGCTGGACGTGTTTGATTCTCGTTAGTTTGCCTGTTAGTTCTGTAGCTGTAAACCTTGTTCGTATTTGGGAACGTAACATTATTATTTTGGATTGACCAAGATTTACATTGCGGATGTCGTCGCAGAAGACGCTTACTCTTCCGGAAAATCTGGTCTTCTTCTCCATAATTTTTTTTGATGAATTTTCGTGTAATTTTTTTTTTATTTTGCCCTAGTTTTATTCAATTTGAGTTTTGATTATGACTATGTTGAAAGTTTGATACAAACTTCTTGTTTAGATATATAAATAAAACTATATACGTACGTGCAATGTTCATTCTCAAGGCTGCAGCTGTAGCCTGGTTTATAGTAGTCCCATGTACTCCATTTATGAAGAGGTTCATACATATAAAAATTCCCCTCTCGGAGCCCCAGGATTTCCCCAGTGAACGTAGTTCCACCACGTAAGTACCCAATCAGAAGAATGTCAGAATTACCTTCTATCGGTTTAAGGACAAGGAAAGTTGGACTTCCGGATCTGCAAGGCAAATGGTGCTTTATATTCATGGATACATCTGACAAAATTTCGGTCATTTTTGCATTTTTTAAAGACTATGGAAATACCAAAGTACTCTAATAAAAAGTTCAAAGTTCATCAGACATTGAGCGTATTTATTGTGTTTAATAAATACAGCCATATCTTACTTAAGTAATTTAGTAGTCCAGTTACTGGCTTTAAATCATTTATTTCTATTTCTTTTTATACTGGTACTTTCAGTTTCGAATGACATACAATGATTTTCCCATCTCCGAAATGGTCGACGATGGCTTAGAATTTTGTTTCACAAGATCAATATAGAAACAAACAACAAAACAACAACAAAGAGAATGTCGACATGTCGACTGAATCTTAATTCAAACTAGGATTACACATGACCTACGAATCGGGACAAGAAGACCAGACGAAGCCTTATGTATACATTGGTACATCGCATATTAGGGAGTAAATGGGACGTTCGAAAACAAGTTATATGACAACATTTATCTTAATTACCACAAAACATATCCGTTTTACACTGCAAAATAATTATTTAAAGCACAAATAATGTTAAACAATTCTTTGACACCAACACACTTATTACATCGAACCCATCACCAGACATTAAAGAACACAACACAAACCATCACCACACATTATAGAACACAACACCAATAATCATTAGACATTACAGAACACAACATAAATCATCAACAGACATTATAGAACACAACACAAACCATCAACAGCCATTATATAATACAACACTAATAATGATCAGACATTATAGAACACAACACAAATCATCACCAGACATTATAGAACACAACACAAGTCATCACCAGACATTATAGAACACAACACAAGTCATCACCAGACATTATAGAACACAAAACATCACCACACATTATAGAACACAACACAAGTCATCACCAGACATTATAGAACACAACACAAGTCATCACCAGACATTATAGAACACAACACAAGTCATCACCAGACATTATAGAACACAACACAAACCATCACCAGACATTATAGAACACAACACAAACCATCACCAGACATTATAGAACACAACACAAACAATCACCAGACATTATAGAACACAACACAAACCATCACCAGACATTATAGAACACAACACAAACTATCACCACACATTATAGACCACAACAAAAGTCATCACCACACATTATAGACCACAACACAAGTCATCACCAGACATAATAGAACACAACACAAACTATCACCACACATTATAGACCACAACACAAGTCATCACCAGACATAATAGAACACAACACAAACCATCACCAGACATTATAGAACACAACACAAGTCATCACCAGACATTATAGACCACAACACAAGTCATCACCAGACATTATAGAACACAAAACATCACCACACATTATAGAACACAACACAAGTCATCACCAGACATTATAGAACACAACACAAGTCATCACCAGACATTATAGAACACAACACAAGTCATCACCAGACATTATAGAACACAACACAAACCATCACCAGACATTATAGAACACAACACAAACCATCACCAGACATTATAGAACACAACACAAACAATCACCAGACATTATAGAACACAACACAAACCATCACCAGACATTATAGAACACAACACAAACTATCACCACACATTATAGACCACAACAAAAGTCATCACCACACATTATAGACCACAACACAAGTCATCACCAGACATAATAGAACACAACACAAACTATCACCACACATTATAGACCACAACACAAGTCATCACCAGACATAATAGAACACAACACAAACCATCACCAGACATTATAGAACACAACACAAGTCATCACCAGACATTATAGACCACAACACAAGTCATCACCAGACATAATAGAACACAACACAAACTATCACCACACATTATAGAACACAACACAAACCATCACCAGACATTATAGACCACAACACAAGTCATCACCAGACATAATAGAACACAACACAAACTATTACCACACATTATAGACCACAACACAAGTCATCACCAGACATTATAGAACACAACACAAGTCATCACCAGACATTATAGAACACAACACAAGTCATCACCAGACATTATAGAACACAACACAAACTATCACCAGACATTATAGAACACAACACAAACCATCACCAGACATTATAGAACACAACACAAGTCATCACCAGACATTATAGAACACAACACAAATCATCACCAGACATTACAGAACACAACACACGCCATCAGCAGACATTATAGAACACAACACAAACCATCACCAGACATTATAGAACACAACACTAATAATGACCAGACATTATAGAACACAACACAAACCATCAGCAGACATTATAGAACACAACTCAAGTCATCACCAGACATTACAGAACACAACACAAACCATCATCAGACATTATAGAACACAACACAAACTATCACCACACATTATAGAACACAACACTAATAATGACCAGACATTATAGAACACAACACAAACCATCAGCAGACATTATAGAACACAACACAAGTCATCACCAGACATAATAGAACACAACACAAGTCATCACCAGACATTACAGAACACAACACAACCAATCACCAGACATTACAGAACACAACACAAACCATCATCAGACATTATAGAACACAACACAAACCATCACCAGACATTATAGAACACAACACTAATAATGACCAGACATTATAGAACACAACACAAACCATCAGCAGACATTATAGAACACAACACAAGTCATCACCAGACATTACAGAACACAACACACGCCATCAGCAGACATTATAGAACACAACACAAACCATCAGCAGACATTATAGAACACAACTCAAGTCATCACCAGACATTATAGAACACAACACAAATCATCACCAGACATTACAGAACACAACACACGCCATCAGCAGACATTATAGAACACAACACAAACCATCACCAGACATTATAGAACACAACACTAATAATGACCAGACATTATAGAACACAACACAAACCATCAGCAGACATTATAGAACAAAACTCAAGTCATCACCAGACATTATAGAACACAACACAAATCATCACCAGACATTACAGAACACAACACACGCCATCAGCAGACATTATAGAACACAACACAAACCATCACCAGACATTATAGAACACAACACTAATAATGACCAGACATTATAGAACACAACACAAACCATCAGCAGACATTATAGAACACAACTCAAGTCATCACCAGACATTATAGAACACAACACAAATCATCACCAGACATTATAGAACACAACACAAGTCATCACCAGACATTATAGAACACAACACTAATAATGACCAGACATTATAGAACACAACACAAACCATCAGCAGACATTATAGAACACAACTCAAGTCATCACCAGACATTATAGAACACAACACAAATCATCACCAGACATTATAGAACACAACACAAGTCATCACCAGACATTATAGAACACAACACTAATAATGACCAGACATTATAGAACACAACACAAACCATCAGCAGACATTATAGAACACAACTCAAGTCATCACCAGACATTATAGAACACAACACAAACTATCACCACACATTATAGACCACAACACAAGTCATCACCAGACATTACAGAACACAACACACGCCATCAGCAGACATTATAGAACACAACACAAACCATCACCAGACATTATAGAACACAACACAAACTATCACCACACATTATAGACCACAACACAAGTCATCACCAGACATTACAGAACACAACACACGCCATCAGCAGACATTATAGAACACAACACAAACAATCACCAGACATTATAGAACAGAACACAAACCATCACCAGACATTATAGAACACAACACAAACTATCACCACACATTATAGACCACAACACAAGTCATCACCACACATTATAGAACACAACACAAGTCATCACCAGACATTACAGAACACAACACAAGTCATCACCAGACATAATAGAACACAATACAAACTATCACCACACATTATAGACCACAACACAAGTCATCACCAGACATAATAGAACACAACACAAACCATCACCACACATTATAGACCACAACACAAGTCATCACCAGACACAATAGAACACAACACAAACTATCACCAGACATTATAGAACACAACACAAACCATCACCAGACATTATAGAACACAACTCAAGTCATCACCAGACATTACAGAACACAACACAAACCATCACCAGACATTACAGAACACAACACAAGTCATCACCAGACATGATAGAACACAACACAAACCACCCCCACACATTATGGAACACAACACAAACATATTTAACATTATAATATGATAGTTTACCGTTTTACCGTCCTAGTACTTACAATATTGTAATGTTTCAGTGATTTCGATCACTATATATTTCTTGTAAGAAACAATCAACTTATTAGTTTAACGACAATTCTTTAAAACAAAACTTGAACATTGAGAATTATTGAAACTGACCTGTGTAAAGCTCCAATCTCGTACTTGCCATTGAATCCTATTAGCCAAATAACTGAAATTAAGACAGTCAGAGTTAGTATAGCTAACTTGGATTTTCTCTGTAACATCGTGAGAGACAGTGATGTCAATGCATTCAAGCAAGAGACTAGTATATATCACTACCGTTGATTGATATTTCAGTATACCAGATGTTCAAGTATTATACCTCGTGAGATAACGACAATTGTGCTAGTTTAAACGCTTTATTGATTACAATAAAGATCGATGTCGAAGCATTTTGATTTAAATAAATATTTTATTATTTTACTGCATGTCATTCATTTGTATCGGGGTTGGGCAAAAGTTGTACATCTTAAATGACATTGCCGTTCAATAAAGCAAACACATATATAAAGAAACATTGTGAAGAGAGGGAGCGCGCGCAAGAGAGAGACACAGAGAGACAGACAGACAGACAGAGAGATTATTGGGGAATTTTGAATTAGTTATTTTAACCCAACTAAAAGTACATTGTGTATTGAATTTTGCAGTATGTTTGTCTCATTTTTCATTCTGAAATATTGAAAAAAATATCAGATTCAGACGTCGACAATGTACTACCAAGAACGCCATGTTACACGACAATTTTATTTTTCTTTAGTTTGCAATTAAAATGACATAGAAAATGAATTCTTGGGACCTAGATTTGGCAAACAAAGATTGCACTAGAAAATTAAAGCAAAACATTAACAGTCACTGTAAATAACTCTCTGTGTGAACAATGTATCAGGAGATGACACGAAATGGCATAGACAACCTCACATTTCTACACGCGCGTGCCATGGATAGGTGTGTAATATACAATAACAGCAAACCCGGATGTATTGTCCCAGACAGACCTGTATTACACAGGTAGAAATGAGAGAAATAGATTTTCAACTCTTTAAAACTTCAAGATTAGCTAAAATGGGAGGTGTGTTTGAGATTTGTAACCGATCTTTAGTTCGAGCGAGCTACTTGTTGCATATTATAGATGTGGGATGTATTTGTGTCTATAAATACTTACATTTAAATTGTAAATAGTGGTATTCGTACTCTGTAACATCATAACATAGTAGACCGACACCATTATCATGTGGTATATCAACACATATTACATTTCAACGGTTGTACAAAAGACACACACGTGAATAGTGCCATTAATACAAATTCATGATTAATCCAAACAAAGAATTTAACAGCGTCATACAACAATTTCGTCATTCTAGGACTCGTCAGTAATGCTAAGGACCTAAGTATTAACCCTAGGAAGCGACTACGAAAAATACAAAGTGACCGAAAACGCAAACAATGCTTCCTTTGCCTGTTCACCTGTTCATTCTTTATTTTAACAAATTATCTAATAGTGTTAAACAGTATACCTAGATAAGGATGAGAATCCACAATTTTATTGGATCATTAAATAGTGTGAAATAGTGTTCTACATTAAAGACGATTGCAAGTCATGCCATGTTTACGTCGGTATTTGTGAACGTGTTGGCATGATTACCAAACAGGAAAGTGTTTCAAGGCTGCTACTGGCTTTGGAATGTTCGAAGGGGGATAACTCTGAAGTAATTCAATAAAACGCACAGCGTAAAGGTTATTTATGAAAGCTAGTCCATGTAACCCAAATAAAAAAAATATTTATTATGTTCAGAGAATGGTATATTTTCCATAAATTGCTGACTATGATATGACACATTAATATGTTAAATGCATTTACGCTATATCAAAAAGATCCGAATCGTCATTTGGCGGGAAAGGTTATCAATTAGAGGAAGTAAACGAAGAAGAGTTCCACAAGAACGTCATCAATTGTAATTTTTTTTTTTTTTTTTTTGGGAGATATTTTGAATATTTACAGTTCAATCCACGTATTCTTTTTTAGTATTTTATTTTATGCGAAATAGATTCACTCAAATCATAGTACTAATAGATTCATAAAATGCAGTTATTAGAACAAAGGCAATGGCGGAATCATAATAGCTGTTACTGCAAGTGTACAGAGGTCTGGTTGTTTACGCGCTAGTCTTGTCGTTAACCGGAGCTTTAACATCAATTTTGTTGGCAAGGCCAAATGGAGATTACACACACGAAATTCAAACATCATAGCAATCGTTCCACAACTCAGGATATTAATTATAATTATTGGCTATATCAGTGATATGCCGAGTCAGTGAAGTCGTGATATGGTGATACGCTGTGTTTTAACACCTTTAACTTAGAGAGGCTGGCTATAATGCTTGGTACACAGCATGCGTGTTTCGGTAAACAATGAACTGAACACATCAAGACATGCAATAGACTATACATGTTACGTCCTTCTTCTTTGACGGACAGTGTTGAACAGAGAAAATCCACAAAAATATATTAATAACTCTTCACCCGAAACAAAACAACACAAAAATAAAACATATGGTATTTGCCATACATATTGATTTACACGAAATTGTGGTTAGATGGACATCCAAATAATGGAGAGATTGAAAAATCTTTCTAAAATGTTAAAACCATTTAGTGATACCCGACATTTACTGGACATGTGTACAGATCGCCTTACTAGCCTCAGCTAGCAGAAATATCCCTGTAGACGATTGGTAGAGTGTCTGGCTAGATGAGACAATAAAAAAAGCGTCCGGCTAGAGACCAAAAGGTCGTTAGTTCGAACCTCAGTAATGGCCGAGTGATTTTCATTACTCCTTCCTGTCACATGCATGCGTATATCTGATATAACATTTTGAAAAACTAATGAACTCGAGTTCAATTTTGTGTAATTGCATTAGTGGAATTTGATACTTTACATGTGAATTTTGAATGATATTTTATTGTAAAACGTGTGTTTATATTCAATAACAAATGTGATATAAAATCAAAACAGCGTGATTTTTATTGTTAATTTTATTATTTAATTTTAAATATTTTATCTATAATCTAAATATTTCTAAATTACATGTTTTTAAATACGTTTCAAAATTTGGAACACTCTCTTGTAATGTGGTATATATATGTTTATATTTTTATCGGGAATCTTACATTTGAGAAGGCAGAAAACCAGAAAAATTGACTCAAGTCTAGACTTCAAATGTGATTGTGTGCGATCCGAGTTAGAAATTTTGCTGAGGGCATGTTTTACTCGAGAAGACATTAGTAGTGCTGAGAAGGCCTCTTTTCAATGTGTGTACAACAATACATATAGGTACACGAATTACATATATGTATCAAAAATTAAGAGTACGGCTCTCCTCTGATCCACACAAAATTGATTTGTAGTTCTGTACCGCCTGACCTGCTCTCCAGTTCGTTGTTTCCCCGACAGTGGAATACCTCGTCACAATATGCTGAGAAGACAATTGTAGGATTTAAGCTTCACTAAGGGAACTATATAGACCTTTTTATGTCGCTGAGAAAAGCGTGAAGATGGCAAACACTGTCGTTTACTTGTTCCTTAGCCTGGCTTTCACGGTAAACAATGTCCTCAACACACAGCGAGCAAAGCTTTAAAATTGAAGGCAGCAGAATGGTTTTATGTTTATGAACTGAATGTCACTTTGAAACATTTCTAATGTATTGTTACCATATTTTTATATATATATATATGTTTACACTTGATTTGTATAGTCTCTTAGTGTGCTTTTGGTGTAAAGTGACAAGTGCGATAGTTCAATCACTGCACTGATTATTGCCCAGTCTTATAAACATAACACAGGCAGATCTCTTTTCGGACCAATAAATGTAAATGTTGACACCAGGTTTATTTAACCGGAAGTCTGTCTGTCGTAGATACGCATACACGCAAAAAGCTCTCTCAAATCAACAAATGACAATGTGCTGAATCAGGAGATTGTCAATAACACGCTTTTCTAAATTGCCAGCTAGATATATAGATCAAATGTGTTGTTTCTTTGGTGACGTCATGACAAATAACTCCCTTGCACGAACGCCTAAGTGATGGTTGACGTTTTCAATTACTGGACACAAAATTAGTCACGATCGTTACATGACGGCAGAAATCGGCCAGTTTATTCACTCATAGTCTTTAACACACAAGCGGAATTGTTAGGTTGAAGACGATTTAACGGGAACACGTTATTTGTAAATACAAGTATGCATGCAAAAATTAAATATTGCTTGGTCGAGATGTACACGAAACCTTCAGATAAAATTAATCACTTCATTTTATCAATGATCATTTTATTTTGTTAATAATAATAGCAGTGAAATGACTGATTTGTGAATTTATTGTGAAGATGCAAGAACGTTTCCTCTCGGAAGACTTACTGAAAATCACGTATACCTTCTTGAGTACAGAAATGCATGTATATTCTTTTAGACAATCCGTATTATAACGCCATGCAAGGGAGCATATCATGAACAGATTTAAAGAGGTTTAACATATAAGATATATACCCGTAACAGAAACGAAAGAAAGACTGACTCCTATTAATTTAAGCTAATACCTACAATTAAGACAGTAGATTCAAAACACTCTTGCATAGTATTGTGATACAAGATGGACTGAAAAATCAATGCCTTATCTAACATAACATTATGGATCATAAACCACTGAAATAAACGAAAATATATTGCCCACGTAAATTCCTGATTTCATAGTATAGAAAAATATATGATAAAAAATGACAATTTGGATGTATTGGTGCGGCGGTCAGGTGTATATTAAAATGAGGAATTAGTTTTCAACTAATTGATGATGAGGGCCAGAAGGTTCGGCGCTTCGAACCGAATTGTAATACCAAAAACATTTTATATGTGCTGTGAATATGTAAACGTATGTTAAACGTTGCGGGACACTCCTAGTGTATATCAAGTTTGAGAGAGACGTTAAGACATGTACGTCTACAAATTATAATGTATCTGTCGTATCTGATGATACTGCCATCTTACATGGTGGTGGATGAATGGTGTTCCCTAAACTGGAATGATTGAAGGTAGCTGTCTAAGCTACAATGTAGCATACACTCTTAACTCACATCACTTATATATATTAAGTAGAAGAAACGCAACGTGTAAAGTAGCGCGACCTTAACACGAGTGAACTGATTCCATTCAGACATACTTTGTATTAGACATGATATATGTGTGTGTTCTCTTTAAGGCAGCATACACCCTTAACATTACCGGATGTTTGATTGGCGCAGAGGTAACGTTTTCGCTTACGTGAGTGGAGTAGGTGATCTCCTGCTCGAATACGCGGATTTTCCAGATTCATCATGTTCAAGCTTCTAACCGGGCCAACAATATTGATTGATGTAATCTAGTAGCTTGTTTGGCGATTACTGTAAAATAAATATATTCATTTTTTAATTTTTAATTTTTTTTTTTATCCTAAAGTTCATGAAACATCAATGTGTTAGGTATCCTATCATTTTTCCACAATAGTAATGCCGTTTACTGTATCCGGATAAATGATCAGATTTACAGCACTCACTGTTTATTTCATAATTCTATTTTTATGGTTCTATAACAACAGACGTTATCATTGCGATGTTGAAACAAGATAAACTTAAACGCTAAGCAAAATGAGTAAATCTTGAGTGTAATATAGATTTTAAACCTACAAATTAATCATTATTTAATGTATCTCTGGAGTATTAACTTCGACAGACATTTTCTGCCAGAATGTGTTTCTAAGGTCGACACCCACTTCATAGGCGTCACCCGAGAATACAGCTACATTACGGAAATGAGACATAATTCAATGTAAAATAAATTCCAAAGTATTAATATCTTGGACTTTTGGTTTTTGTATTCGTTGCTACATATAGTTGTATCTATAACATGGAAAAAAGAGCTTTATATGTCTTTTTTTTTCAAATGACTTCTGGGCTACATTTTTTGAAGGCGTTACCACAGTTATGAGCATTTCACCGTCTTTTTCTAAGATATTTCTTGTGTATAACTTAACACGTTCTGTTCTGGGTATATTTCAACTAAAGTTTGTTTGGTTTTCATCAGAAATCGTTGATTTCAAATTTGCGAACTCCGACTTAGTGAACCACTTTCCCTGATTTTCGGATCCGAAAACCTATATTTCAGCTTTTTTTGATCTTGTTAAAATGGCTATTTGGGTAAAAAAAAAAAAAAAAAGCAAAAAATTAAATCACATTGGCATCTTCTTTTTAAAACGTGGAGAATGTCCTTGAAAATTTGTCTGTCCAAGAATAAACTTTTATAAAGGTAAATGCTAAAATATGGCCAATTATATAGGATTGAAATCACTTTTCATGATTTTCATTTTTTAGCTGTTTTGCAAATTGAAACTCGTTAAATCAAAATTTGGTATTTTCACAATGTTTTTGTTTTTCAATAACCTATATAAATGTACCATATTACTGCCGCTATATTGAAAGAAGCAAAATTATTCTAAAAAGGTTGTCGTGAAAATTACAAAGAATGTCTGATATTTAGGAATAAAAGAAATAAGAAAAATATCTGAAGGCTGTATTGGGAAAAAAGTGAAAAGCAAAATGTTGATTTTCTTACTTTTGAAATACTTTCTAAAATCTTATCTTTAAAAAATTATCACCATAACAAAACTTTAGTACTGAAATCTTTATTCTCAGAGAAGTATATATAACAGTTGATGTTTTAAAATAATCCTGTCATTTTTCCTGTTAACAAAGGTCCCGGATTCGAATCCTACCGGAGCTATGAAATAAATAATTTCCTCTGTTACGAACGGCGGTTTCAGTCCTGAATTCCGGATATTATTGCCCGGTTTCCAGTACCACTATTACTGTTATTGTATTACTGACGTGCCCTTGCACGTCTCACTGATGAATACACTCGTGTTTCCGATACGATCTGTGTGCTGCCATTGTGTGTACTGATCGTCGATTGAAAGCACCCTATACTTACTGAATGATAGGCTACAGTAAGATACACATATATCTAACAAACAGCTGTCACCGTCTTAGATAATATTTCTGTAAGTAGTTAGTCGATAAAAATATATTACTTTTTAAAAAGAAAATATCGACCACGAAAATGAAAGAGATCCCAGTCAGTGCTTCTTATTGCAATATACAGTTGTTGAAAATAGCAATCAATTAAATAATAGTGGGATAAATTTCAGACAACACATTCGCTGGAACGTATAACGAAGTACGGAGTGGGGATATCAGACATAATTTAAACATAGACTGACTTACAAAATCTAATCTTTTCAAATATGGAAAAGAAACTTGCAAAACTACTACATAATTCAAATAAACAAAACAAACTTTTAAGATATTGGTATGACACGAATGCTGCTAAAAAATCTATCGAAAAATAATGATATTCTTAAAATGAAATATTTCAACACATATAAAATACATCAGAATTTAATACTTTGTTTGTTCACATACATTTTCAGTTTAAGGACATTTCAATTTTCTCCATTCTACGTGGTTAAACAAACAAACAAACAATAAAATATATTTTTCTTAGAAATGTGAAAACACATCTATTTGAAATTTCAGGAACAGCGATATGGCTTTCAGTAAAATGTTACCGTTCCATTCTCTGAAATTGACTTAACCCTAATGACAGAATGGTCTGCAGATGTCTTATGCGAATATAGGTACCGATCATAATTCATGGCTACCGAATGGGTATTCTGCAGTTGGTTCCTAGCTTTACGTTCCGTTTGAACTGAGAACCAGATCCTAGTTGAACTGGAAACTAAAAGAAACGAAACGAAAAGCCAAATGCGCATGCTCTTATCTGGACCCGGTACAGGAATCGAACCCACACGATTTCATAAAGAAATTAAGATTACTATAAAGGAATGTGTCTTATATCTTAAATTTTAACATTAAACGGAACTATGATCTGGTTCCCTGTTCCATTTTTCTTTAAGGCCACCATGATCTGGTCCCTATTACATGTGGTCCTCATTGGTTGTTTGTTTGGTTGTTTGGTTGGTTGGTTGTTTGGTTGTTTGTTTGGTTGTTTGGTTGGTTGTTTGGTTGGTTGGTTGTTTGGTTGTTTGTTTGTTTGTTTGGTTGGTTGTTTGGTTGGTTGGTTGTTTGGTTGTTTGTTTGTTTGTTTGTTTGTTTGGTTGGTTGGTTGTTTGGTTGTTTGGTTGGTTGGTTGGTTGTTTGTTTGGTTGTTTGGTTGGTTGGTTGTTTGGTTGGTTGGTTGTTTGTTTGGTTGGTTGTTTGGTTGGTTGGTTGTTTGGTTGTTTGTTTGTTTGTTTGTTTGGTTGGTTGGTTGGTTGGTTGGTTGTTTGGTTGGTTGGTTGGTTGGTTGGTTGGTTGGTTGGTTGGTTGGTTGGTTGTTTGGTTGTTTGTTTGGTTGTTTGGTTGGTTGTTTGGTTGGTTGGTTGGTTGGTTGTTTGGTTGGTTGTTTGGTTGGTTGGTTGTTTGTTTGGTTGGTTGTTTGGTTGGTTGGTTGTTTGGTTGTTTGTTTGTTTGTTTGTTTGTTTTGGTTGGTTGTTTGGTTGTTGTTTGTTGGTTGTTGTTTGTTTGTTTGTTTGGTTGGTTGGTTGGTTGTTTGGTTGGTTGGTTGGTTGTTTGTTTGTTTGGTTGGTTGGTTGGTTGTTTGGTTGGTTGGTTACAGGCGTCTCCTTGACGCGTCCTATTTCTTGGTGTTGTCTCAACAACGAACGTTCTCATTGGTCACATTGCTTCCACTTAAATAACAAGATGCAGTGAACCTGCATGCAGTTCGCATCTACCCTTTTTGGGGGTACATTATTCCATACTCAATACACTATTACGTCGAAATTTCTAAACTAAGCGCCATAAACGGCGACATACTATTTATTGCTTGTTCATAAACACTGTGGTCTGTAGGTATGGAATTTAGTCTACAGCAGGACACTCGAGGTCTCCAATAATAAGAAACCACGACACCGGAAAAAGTAATTATATATATATATATATAAAGAGTTCGTGTAATCTATCGGATTAGAGTATACAAGCGGAAAGAAACACATTCTATCCATCACAACATATCATGTTGTCTACTCCTGAACGCTATAACTTTGAATTTATCATTCGCGATACAGAGACTCTTTCGGACATTAAGATATCCCGGCTGAAACAATTTACCAAAAAAACCTTCACCTACGAATTACATGACTCACAGAATTAGGTAATTACATACCAGCCTAATCATAATAATGATGAATGTACTAGAAAACCCAAGATTAAGGCATCAAATAGTTTCCTTTTGAAATGCTGTGGTTTTATAGCAAAATATGAGAATAAATCCGAATATCATACTGCGAAAGAGTAAATCAGCAAGGTCGACAGATCGAGATCGCGAAAACGCGACAGCTACAGATCGAGATCGCGAAAACGCGACAGCTACAGAGCGAGATCCTCCAAGTTCTGTCTCGCTCTCGCTCTGTGGCTCTGTCGCCGCATCGTTGTCGCAATAGCTAACCATATCGAATCACAGTGAGCTCGCAGTGTTTCTGTGGAGAAGTGATGGGGGAGGTAAGGCTTGAAATTTTCTGACATGCTTAGTATACTACTGAATTGTTGAACGCTAAGTTTTCAAATCGTAAACAGATACTAAGATAAAGTTGATGTCAACACTGCTTGCCTCGCTCGTGTCGGCTACAAACGCGACACAAATGGAGTGGGAAATTCTCGCAGTGACTGTTACTGTACTAAAATATCATCGATCACTTACGATTGTGAATAAAGTGTCTGCCTCATAAAAAAGTGAAGATGGAATTCAAGATTCATAAGATTTCAACCTACATACAATGACTAAAGTACATTTACTTACATGCGCTTTCTTGAGTAATAGACACATTTTTAAAAGATACGCTATAATTTTATAATTTTATTACATACAGAAACACACGGCCTACTACATGTACCAGCACCGCTTTACCAGCACCGCTCCTATAACACACGGCCTACTACATGTACAGTACCAGCACCGCCAACCCTAACACACGGTCTATCTCAGTCTACACACAGGTACATGTACCAGCACACACCGCTCCTATAACACACAGTCTACTACATGTACCAGCACCGCTCCTATAACACACAGTCTACTACATGTACCAGCACCGCTCCTATAACACACAGTCTACTACATGTACCAGCACCGCTCCTATAACACACAGGTCTACTACATGTACCAGCACCGCTCCTATAACACACGGTCTACTACATGTACCAGCACCGCTCCTATAACACACGGTCTACTACATGTACCAGCACCGCTCCTATAACACACAGTCTACTACATGTACCAGCACCGCTCCTATAACACACGGTCTACTACATGTACCAGCACACACAGTCTATAACACACGGCTCCTATAACACACGGTCTACTACATGTACACACAGCACCATGTACCAGCACCGCTCCTATAACACACGGTCTACTACATGTACCAGCACCGCTCCTATAACACACACCGTCTACACACGGTACATGTACCAGCACCGCTCCTATAACACACAGTCTACTACATGATGCACACAGTCCAGCACCGCTCCTATAACACACGGTCTACTACATGTACCAGCACCGCTCCTATAACACACGGTCTACTACATGTACCAGCACCGCTCCTATAACACACGGTCTACTACATGTACCAGCACCGCTCCTATAACACACGGTCTACTACATGTACCAGCACCGCTCCTATAACACACGGTCTACTACATGTACCAGCACCGCTCCTATAACACACGGTCTACTACATGTACCAGCACCGCTCCTATAACACACGGTCTACTACATGTACCAGCACCGCTCCTATAACACACGGTCTACTACATGTACCAGCACCGCTCCTATAACACACGGTCTACTACATGTACCAGCACCGCTCCTATAACACACGTACCAGCACCGCTCCTATAACACACGGCCTACTACATGTACCAGCACCGCTCCTATAACACACGGTCTACTACATGTACCAGCACCGCTCCTAACACACGGTACACACACCGCTCCTATAACACACGGTCTACTACATGTACCAGCACCGCTCCTATAACACACAGTCTACTACATGTACCAGCACCGCTCCTATAACACACGGTCTACTACATGTACCAGCACCGCTCCTATAACACACAGTCTACTACATGTACCAGCACCGCTCCTATAACACACAGTCTACTACATGTACCAGCACCGCTCCTATAACACACGGTCTACTACATGTACCAGCACCGCTCCTATAACACACGGTCTACTACATGTACCAGCACCGCTCCTATAATCCTATAACACACGGTCTACTACATGTACCAGCACCGCTCCTATAACACACGGTCTACTACATGTACCAGCACCGCTCCTATAACACACGGTCTACTACATGTACCAGCACCGCTCCTATAACACACGGTCTACTACATGTACCAGCACCGCTCCTATAACACACGGTCTACGATCATTTCAAGTCAAGTAGTTTTGACTATAGCAAGGATTGCATAAAATTTCTTTAACATAAGTAATTGTGTTGCGCATTGTATGTTTTATTTACATAAACTGGTATAATCTTGTTAAAAATCCGGTATGAAATAGAATGATTCGACATTTTAATGATAATTACATGATTTAATATTCTCATAAATAAAAAAGATCAATTTTGGTTACATATATTAACGCCTACCATTTATGGAAATCAAACCAATTAAAGCAATTTTACGTTAATAGTGGTATTTCTCAAAACGTAATTTCATCCCAATAAAAATTTCTAATTTTCTCGGACTAATCAGAGCATTAACCTTTATTAATCTCATTACGGACTGAAAGTAATTAACAAAGATTAATTTTAGGTTGACAACAATTTATTTTGAGACCGTAATAAAAAAAATCTTGAAATTAGTTAAAATGAAGGTTATAGTGATTAATTAAAGTCAAGGCTAGACCGTCGATATCGGGTTATGATTTATAAAGTTTTCGACATTTACTGTGTTGTTGGGCGGATCTAATTCATATATATAAAATTGTTTGTGGTCAGTGATTGTTAAAATGTAAGACAGTGATTAAAGTGTTAACTAAACGATTCTTTTATTGGTCTAATGGTGTTTGAGTCTGAAAATACGATCAACATTACATGAAAAAAATCATTTCACGATTACATCAAATTATAATGTGAATTTAAGGCTTAAGATTCACATGTTTATTGGTCATTCTAAACACAAAACAAACAATTGTATCGCAGATCGATGTGTAAGACTGTTTTTACGAAATTGGCAGCGAATGCAATGGCCATCAATCGTAGTTTGCATGACATGACCAGTAACACGTCTTCTGCCTCAGATCTCACGCGCAGACAAGCGAATTCTAAATAACTCATTACTTAAGCATTCCGGAACAGTTGGGTTGGGATTTTAACCTTATTTAAGTTCCGAACGTGTATGTATTCTGTGACAGGCCTTCGCTAATGTAAATCCGCTTCCTAGTGCCGTTGTATATATTATTGGCCTTGACAGACACATGATCTGACCATTAACTTTCTGCTATAGGCCAATTGTTTCGACAGATGTCAGTACGATTCTAGATCCACATCGTGTTGGTGGCAGACCCAGGAATTACTATAAAAACAAGGGGAAAAGTTAAACAAAAAAAAAAAAAAATCGGTTTCTGTCAAAAATCATAATTTACGATTTATCGCTAAGGATAAAACATCCATGAAGCCTTAGCAGGTGAGGTGTAATTTATTATGTTATGTAATTCTGATTGATGAAAAATGACAAGAAGAAAATACAGGTTTTATTTCCGACTATGGTGCGTGACCGTTTCACTAGTGTGCAAAATGTGATGGCTACAAGGATAGTAGTATGTAATCATTATATACAAAGTGTGACTGTTACATACAAGGCGTGACTTTGGTAGTCCGGATGTGACTATGGTTGTCTGGGATTGATAAAATCGTCATAGGTTGTGACCGTTGTATACAAAGTGTGACTGTTACATACAAGGCGTGACTGTGGTAGTCCGGATGTGACTATGGTAGTCAGTGATTGATAAAATCGTCATAGGTTGTGACCGTTGTATACAAAGTGTGACTGTTACATACAATGCGTGACTTTGGTAGTCCGGATGTGACTATGGTAGCCTGTAATTGTTAAAATCGTCATAGGCTGTGACCGTTATAAACAAAGTGAGACTGTAACATACAAGGCGTGACTTTGGTATAACGGATGTGACTTTGGTAGTCTGTGACCTACATATAGAATGTGACTGATATACCCAGGGTGTGATTAACTGTATAATCAGGTTTGGCTGTTATCTACGAGATCTGATTAAAATATATCTATAAAGGGTGTGAATATTATAAGAATGTGACCATTCCTGTTGTGATTTTTAAATTGAGACCTTTATATACAGGATGTGACGCGGCACAGTATATGATCGTTATGCAAAGATGGTGGCTCTTATACAGAGGTTTTGACACTAATCTACAAGATGTGACCCTTATATGCAGGGTGTCACTACTGTGTACAGTTTGTGACCTTTATATGCAGGGTGTTACTATTATACACAGGATGTGACCCTTATATGCAGGGTGTAATTGCTACGCACAAGTTGTGACCCTTATATGCAGCGTGTAATTGCTACGCACAAGTTGTGACCCTTATATACAAGGTGTGACTACTATGTATAGGTTGTGAACCTTATATGCAAGGTGTGACTATTGTGTACAAGTTGTGACCCTTGTATTCATGATTTGACTGTTAAATGCTTGGTGTGACTTTAACACACACTACAACCAATGGCTGGCATACATGCTGCCAATACCTTCCGTTATGACACCGCCAGTACACACCTCAAGCGACAACATCATTCACCTGCATTCGCGAGTGAAGAGTTCCTTTAATTTTGTTACTCCGTAAACAGCTGTCGGTGTACAGGGGTGACTGGAGGTTGTAGGCACCGTTTCCTCTAGGGAATCCATTCGTCGTTTCCACCACATTGCTGTTCCCAGGTTGTCAGGAATAACGCATGTTACTGAAAGTTTCAATATATCTCAATCACCGGGATATTGAATCTGAGATAATCCCCCGTCTTTACAATCTCTCCCTGTCACAATCTCAAATCCAACGAGATGGCGAACGATTGAGGCGATCAGAATCGCTCCCGATATCACCAGAACTGAAATAATGAATTCGCATCCAGCACCTCGGCTCAGGCGTCAGGAAAGAATTAGGGAGGGCGATGTGTCCAGGGATACATTAGAGCTACTTAAGGTGTCAGCACTGCCGATCAAGGGATTTATACGCAACATTTGTGGAATTCACAAAGTGGATAGAAACTATCGCTCGGTGCCTGTAGATATTCCCCTACGGTCGGGATGCAGTTTGGACTCATTTCAACACCATGGTAAGTGTTTTTCTTAAAACAAATAGCATTATGATGTGATTGGTGGTGATAAATGATACCATGGCATG